TGTGTGTGTGTGAGAGAGAGAGAGTGTGTGTGTGTGTGTGTGTGTGTGTGTGTGTGTGTGTGTGTGTGTGTGTGTGTGTGTAATCAGAGCGTGTGGCTGTCCGGCAGGTTCTGGACACATCAGATCTGACATGAATGGTTGAACTGCTGAGTTATTGCACATTTGCTTCTACACCTCTTATTCACCCTGCCTTTTTTGTTCTTTTGTCCCTCCTTGTTTCTTTCTCCTCCTTCCTTGTCTTTCAAAGCTGGATATAAACTGCGTGGCTCGCTAGCTAGTTCGTTCATCTCAAGACAAGGTAAAACTACATCAATGTTGTCACCCTTCCACACCTCACCCCGCCCCGCTCCCTACCACCGCCGCCTCCCACCCCATTGTGCCGTCTAGTTTTGTCGTCGTCGTTGTTGTTTCATACCTTATTTTTTTGTTGTTGTTTTGTTCAGACAATGTTCTTCCCCCCCACCTGCTTTTCCCCCACAACCACCAAAAAAGGAACAGAAAAAACCTGGAGAATGTTTTTGTCCCCCTTGAAACGACATGCACCCCCTCTCCCATGAAATCCCTATGATTTGTATGTGTGCATGACATCATCCACATCCATAAACGGTGCATCTGGAAATGTTTGCGTTAAAGTGATGTGTCTTTGTGTTTTTGAGGACACAATGTTCGGAAAAAATGTGATAGTTATATTAGGGATGTGCAAAAGTATGTATTTTCTATTTGGACGGAAGTCCTGTATAATTGTAAATATTATGTAAAACATTTCGAATAAATTTTTTACATTTTATTCATGATTTAAACTGATATTCATTTGATATAATTTCTGTTTATTTTATGTATTTTGTAAATAGTTTCGTAAAATTACTTATAATTATTTATATATATGTATTATATTTATATATTACATATTTAATTCTTATAATTTATTTTAAATAATTTATTTAAAATGTTAATATACATAAATATTTTTCAAATATTTTGTGTGCGTGTGTGTATCAGTGGTGGACAGTAACGGAGTAGTTTTACTTCGTTACTGTACTTAAGTACATTTTTCAAGTATCTGTACTTTACTGGAGTAGTTTTATTTTAAGTAACTTTTACTTTTACTTCACTACATTCCAAAGCATAAGATCATACTTTTTACTTCACTACATTTCATAAAACATATCGTTACTCCTTATAATATATCACATGCTCTGACATGCAGAAGCGGTGTCTGATTCAAGGACGAACTGATTCTTTTCAATTAACCTTTTAAATCGGTTCGCAAATCTCACCAAACGATTCATTGACGAATTAGAATGTTCTCGAGTCGACAACTCACTGATTCAAATGAACCGTTTAGTGCAAGTCTCCAGTGAACTGAATTCACAAGTAAAAACCGGGAGATCTTGTGAGCGCACGCGCGTCTGATGCTGCTAAAAGTAAGTAACTAATGTTGAATTTTAGGATTAATTATTGTAACTGAAAATCATATTTAGGTCAAAACTGTCCGTTGTTTGTGAACTAAATCTGCTGTAAAGGGTGATCT